ATAATTTTTAACTAGGAAGCAGGAGGAGCACAGCATGGTTAGAGTTGCCATTAAATAAGAAGTGCCCGTCATTCATGTTAGCTCTAATAAGAAGCTATGTTGTGAAAATTAAATGAGACAATACATAAAAGGACATAGAAAATACTCAACAATAGTCTCATTATTGTCATCATTAAAATTATTTGTGAATTTATATCAGCAAAGAGAATATAAGCAATTCTTTTATTGAATAAAAATAAGAATTTTTTTAGATTAGGTCAATTTATTTTGAAGGTATCAATATAAAAAGACTAACTTTAGCCATTTCTCACAAAAAAAAGCAATCTGAAATTTAAATTCATCTCAATTTAATCAAGATATGTAATAAATTTAAATTTATTTTAAGAAATATGTGAGGGTCCTAGTTCCAGGTAAGATGGCTCTCCCACTGAATACAACTATGAAACATGAAATATATGTCTAAGAAGGTTATATCAGGAGTCTGAAAAATAGCAGTAACAGGTAGATGGTGAAAAAAGAGCAGAACTCATGTACTATTAAGGTCTCTCAGTATCCCGCCCCCGCCCCACCCCACCAATCAGAAAGTGGACACCAAGATACAGACAGAGAGAACTGCAGTACATCCAGACAAGGGAATATAATTCACCCCTAAAAAAAAAAAAAAAAAGAAAAGAAAAAAAGCTACCAAGCCATGGAAAGGCATAGAGCAACATTATGTGCGTTTTAGAAGTGAAAGAAGCTGGGGCGCCTGGGTGTCTTAGTCGGTTAAGCGTCTGACTTTCGCTTAGGTCATGATCTCGCGGTTCGTGGGTTCGAGCCCCGCGTCAGGCTCTGTGCTGACTGCCAGCTCAGAGCCTGGAGCCTGTTTCAGTCTGTGACTCCCTCTCTCTCTGACCCTCCCCTGCTCACGCTGTCTCTCTCTCTCTCCTAAAAATAAATAAAACATTTAAAAAAAAAAAAAAAAGAAGTGAAAGAAGCCAATTTGAAAATCTGTATGAATCTACCTATATGACATTCCGTCTGAAAAAAGACAAAACTTTGGAGACAGTAAAAAGATCAGTGGTTGCCAGAGATTAGGAGGGAGAGAGAGATAAATAAGCAGAACACAGGATTTTTAGGGCAGTCAAACTATTCCAGATAATACTAGTATGGTGGATATATCTTTCAAAATCCATAGAATATACGATATGAACAGTGACCCTAATGCAAACTATGGACTTTGGTGGATAGTAATAGGTCAAGCAGGTACATCAGTTGTAACAAATGTACCACTCTGGTGGAGGATGTTGGTGGTGGGGGAAGTCAGGGCATGTGTGAGGGCAGGAGATGGGAACTCAATACATACTGCTCAATTTTGCTGTGAACCTAAAACTTCCCTAAAAATAAAGTCTATCTAAGAAAAAAAAAACAAACAAACACCAAAGAACTCACTGGATGCAATCAGTAGCAGAAAGGAGGAAAGAAGACAGAGGAAAAAGTTAGTGAAGCTGAATATAAGTCAATAGAAATAATCCAATCACAAAACAAAAAAAAATTTTCAAAAAATGAAAAGACACAGGGCGCCTGGGTGGCTCAGTCAGTTAAGCATCCAACTTCGCCTTAGGTAATGGTCTCATGGTTCACAAGTTCAAGCCCCATGTCGGGCTCTGTGCTGACAGCTCAGAGTCTGGATCGTGCTTCAGATTCTGTGTCTCCCTCTCTCTGCACCTCTCCCCAACTTGTACTCAGTCTCTTTCTCTCTCTCTCAAAAGTAAATAAACATTAAAAAAATTTTTTTTAATGAAAAGAGGTGGGGCATCTGGGTGTTTCAGTTGGTTGACCATCTGACTTCAACTCAGACCATGGTTTGTGAGCTCAAGCCCCGCTTTGGGCTCACTGCTGTCATCAAAGATTCAGATCTTTCGTCCCCCTCACTCTCTACCCCTCCCCTGCTCACCTTCTCTGTCTCTGTCTCTGTCTCTCAAAATGAATAAACATTTTTTAAAAATGAAAGGAGGAAAATAGCAGAGTAGGAGACTCCAGGTCTCTGTCCTTGTATAAAAACAACTAATAAGCTGGCAAAAAACTATCAGCCTCATTTTTTGCAGAACTCTGGAGTCCAGTCAAGAACTTAAAACAACCAGGGGAAAGCTTAGTAAAGAACAAAGCTGCTGCTTCTGCAGTAAGAGAGAGAACTGTGGTGATTTCAATGGCCTGCCCACCATCCCCCATACTTCTAATCCGAGGCAGCCATGGTCCTGGTGCCACAGGGAGCAATGGCGATGTTATTCTCAAAGAATCATCGCTGTGGTCCCAGACTGTCCAGTGGCTCCCTGGAGGAACACACAAAGGTTTGCTTTTATTTTGCCTAACTCAAAGCATTCCTCGGACAAAGATGGCTGCTTGGGAGGGTTTTGCTGTGTGCATTTAAACACAGAAGTTTTGGCTGTGGCAGCTTAGGGTTAGTTGGGACAACCAACAGACTGAAAAGCCTGGCAAAGAAGAAGTTGGGAAAGGAGATATGTGAGGGGGGGAGGGGGAGTGGGGGAGGGGCTTTAATCAAGAAGGCCACACATACCGTCAAGGCTGGGCACATGGTCAAAAAGACCTGAGACGACCCTCAGCGTTTACCTTGGACTGACCTTCAGGATCTGAGAAAGCTGTAAACAAAGGCTATGACAGCATTGTAAGCAGCATGGGTAAACACTGAAGTGGTGCCCCGAAGGAGCCAACCTACAAAGTCAGAGTTTTTTGGATATTTGCTCCAAGCAATGAAGAAAACTGTCAAAACACTCAGTGGCCATGACTGCTAAGTTAGTCGAACACACCTTTCACATAACAAACAGTACGGACTCAACAAAAATAGTTTAGAGAAGTTAGTAAATAAGCAAACATTAACAGCTCACAAGCAAGCAGCACCAACAAACCTGGAGAAGAGGGAAGTATCTGATTTCCAGAACTGTCACACTGTGATATTCACTATCCCCAGTTTGACAAAAGAAAAAAAAAAATTACAGAGCATGCAAAGAACAAGAAAATATGGCTTGCTAAAGGGGGAGGGGGGAAGGAATTGTGAGTGTCCATAAGGACACTGGGGCATTGGACTTTCTAGACAAAGACATTAACTCAACTCCCTTAAATATGCTCAAAGAGCTAAAGAAAATCATGGAAAAAGAACCAGAGGAACCAGGAGAACAACATGTCACCACATACAGAATATCAGGAAAGAAACAGAAATTGTGAAAGTGAATGAAACAGAAATTCTAGAGATTAAAAAGCACAATGACTGAAATGAAAAATAACTGAAGGGTTTCAACTATAGATCTAAGCAGGCAGAAGAGTCAGGTTACCTGAAGATCCATGGAGATCCAGTTTAAGAATAATAAAGAGAGGAACGAAAAAAATTAATAAACCAAGGCCAAGACACCCATGAGATACCATCAAGTATACCAACATATATGTAACAAGAGGCCCCAAAGGAGAGGAGAGGAAGAAACTAAAAGAATGTTTGAAAAAATAATGCCCCCCAAACTTCCCAAATTTGATGAAAATCATGAATTTAAATATCCAAGATGTTCCCTGGGCTCAAGACCAAAAAAGCCAGTAATAATAAAATAGAGCAACATATGCTAACCGACATCTTAGCACACGAAGGTGTACACTAAGCATTTGTTGGATCAATTTACAAATGATATTGAAGACCAGTATTTCCCATATCCCACACTGCCTCAACCTACTTGACATTCGCTGGCTGATCAAGAGTATGTAAGCAAGAATGGAAGTCCGAGAGAGAGGGCAAATGAATTATAGGCAAACTTCAGCACACGTTTACCATCCTGAACACGGTTAGTTATCTTCAAAACCACCAAAGCTCACATTTTATACACAGCACAATCCTTTGAAGGAAGACTATAATAAACACTTGTTAGTTGTTTCTCTAACTGCTACTTCTTTCCTTTTTCTTGACAATCTCCAGATTCTGCCCAGGTGAGACTAACTTCAACTCCACATTCAGAAATGTCTTCTGAGGTGCCTGGGTGGCTCAGTCGGTTAAACATCCCACTCTTGATTTCAGCTCAGGTCATGATGTCACAGTTCATGGGATCAAGCCCTGCATCAGACTCTGCACTGATAGCATGGAGCTTGCTTGGTATTCTCCCTCTCTCTCTACTCTTCCCTGCTCACTCTCTCTCAAAATAAAGAAAGAAAGAAAGAAAGAAAGAAAGAAAGAAAGAAAGAAAGAAAGAAAGAAAGAAAGAAAGAAAGAAAGAAAGAAAGAAAGAAAGAATGAAAGGAAGGAAGTAATGGCTTCTAATTATCTGAAGATGGCCATCATGATTAGTTTAGTGATAGATCCATGAAGCAAGAGTAGTGAAGACCAAAAAGACCGTTTCTAGGTTACTATGTGAGTGATGATGTAAGTGAAAATCTCTTTTTTCTTGAGTCTATATCTGGAACAATGTCATTCCAAGGACGAGTCACTATCTTTTAACAACAGGGGAGAGTCTGCTGAGAGAATGAAGAGACAGAGAGATAGACTGCTTAAAAGGCCAGCTGTCCCTCTGGCCCAGTGTTTCCCAAACTTAACTAGGTGATACAATCTTAAACCCCTTCCAAGTCCTGCTGCATTAGAATTTCCAGGCAAGTCATGGGAAACTGCTGCTGTCTCACCTGAAGCTAGCCCTAATGTTGAAGCTTTCAGAAATAAAAGCCAATAAATGCCTTTTATCATTTAGGAGAATTTGAGATAAGTCTGTCACTTGCCCACAAAACCACCCTAACTGGTAGAAGCCAGCTAGATTTGTTTCCTTTTGGTTTTTCCCTCTTTTCTTTGTAGAGAAGTAAGCATTAGCTCTCAATGGGTTATGTTATTTACATGCCTCTGATAAAGTTCAAAGGACAATCTCCAGATTTTCAAAACAACCTGGGGAAGAAAAAAAAAAAAAACAGGTTGAGAAACAGACCTGCTAATCTCTCTTCCCTCCCACCGCTCCTCCCTCTGCCTCTCGTTTCTTTCATTAAATAGGTCCTAAAATATCCTTTCCAAAAGACTTTCCCAGCAGTGTCCAGAATTATTCTGAAAAGCGTGAAACCCAGACTCTCTCCGGGATGAACCTCAGCGCTGCAAGTCACCGTATACCTCTAAGTGATGGAAATAGCATGCCTATCATCGGTCTCGGCACCTATTCAGAACCTAAACTGGTAAATTTCTCTCTTTTTATTTTTATTGTTTTGAAACTTCCCTAGAGCATAATCTTTAATTCATTTTGAATGGAGCTCATTGATTTGCTTCTTACTTCTTTCATTCTTATAAGAATAAAAGTCACCTCCAAGGTGTAATACCTGCTTTCCTGACTACTGAGCTGGAGGTTAAAACTGTATCAGTTTATCATTTAAAATGACCTTGAATTAGAGAATGGGACTTTTATGCTTCCTTGACTGAAATTTAGCTGAATTCTATTAGATTGAACTGAGGCACATAATATTTCTGTGTTTATTACTTACAGGGTTTTAAAAACTTGTATTTGAGAATTTCTAATTCAGTCTAATAAGCATTTAGTGAAAATCTACCACATATGAAGCACCAGGCTGTAGAAACTTCAAATATGAAGAGAATAATGTCTGTGCTGCCTAGGAATTAAAAATCAAATAGAGGAGGCTGACTCTTTAATAGTTCATTGTAGAACAATGAAGATAAGAATAAATTCTACCCCAGGAAATGGGGTGCCTGGGTGGCTCAGTCAGTTGAGAGTTTGACTTCGGCTCAGGTCATGATCTCCCAGTTCATGGGTCAGAGGCCCGCATTGGGCTGTGTGCTGACAGCTCAGAGCCTGGAGCCTGCTTCAGATTCTGTGTGTGTCTCTCTCTCTCTCTCTCTGCCCCTCCCCTGCTTGTGCTCTATCTCTCTCTGTCTCTCCAAAATAAATAAGCGTTAAAAAAAAAAAAAATCCTACCCCAGAACTATAAACAGTATCTCTCTGAAAACACAAAAAAAGGGAGTAGTTAAATGTGACCTTCAAGATTGAGGAGGTTTCCATTAAAACACAGTTTATGTTTACAAGAAGAATATTTCTGCTTTCTTCATTACAATTCAAATTTAATGCCGATTACCAGAATGAACCAGTGGTATGTGTAGGAATGCCCCTGGATATGTGTGATCATGTATGAATGAAAGCTAACTTTGAGTTAGGAGGCAGAGAGTCAGAGCTGAGGCAGCACATTTTAGGCAGAAGGGGAAGTGTAGAGGCACAAAGATATATGATGTGTCCAGCAGAGGCCAAGCCCACAGTGGCTGGAACATGGAATTAATGGTGGACACAATGGCAGCTGGCTCTGGAAATGCAGACTAGCCTAGATTATAAAGGACCTAGGATACCATGCCAAGGAGTTGAAACTTTACTATATAAAAGGAGGAATTATGTGAAGTTTAGAAACCGAAGAAAAGCATCATGAGATCAGTGCTTTCGAAAAGTAAGTCTAGGGCAGCATGGAGAACGGAAGGCAGAGAAAGAAAAATACACTAGACCTACCAAGAGCAGTTAATACTTGTATCCACCATGACTGCCCAGTTCCACTGTTTTTCATAATGTGAAGGAAAATCACTATTGAAACAATTATAAGAGTCTTAGTCATTGGCCCCTTCCTCTTCTTACTTTGCCCATTGTCTGTATAGGAACTCGTTCATAGTCTTGGCTCCAATCACATATATGGAGAGACTCCTAAAACTATATTTCCTATTTTGTTGTTATTGTTGTCGTCATCGTTGTTGTTATATATCCCCATACAGCCGTGGACTGGCTACATCAGAACCACTTGGGGATTTTTTTTTTTAAAGAAATACTGATCCTTAGTCCTCACTTCCGGTCTCTGAGTCTGGTTCTTTAGGGATAGAGGCTGAATATCTGCATTTAACAAGCTCCTTGGATAATTCAGTTGTACCATTAAGTATGTACTCCATCTTCCATAGACACCTCTAACTCAATGTAACAAAACTACACTATCCACTTCTCCCTCCCCTCAAAATGCTTCCCATCCTAGAAAATAACACTACCACTCTGAGCCACCCAAGCCAGAAATCTGAGCATGTTCCTCCATTGTGCCCTCTATCCTTGTCTTTCCCTCTGTCCACATTACTTCCAAATGATTGCCACTGAATTTCTCTCAGAAATATTTGTTCAATTCACACCCTCCTCTTTATCTCCTTTGTCATCGTCTTAGTTTGGGCTCTTAATTTATTGTTAGGCTGTTCTTCCAATTTTGTCCCCTCCAATTAATTATTCAAACTGGGGCTGTCAGGATCTTCCTCAGACCCAAATCTGATCATGTCACTCCTCTGCTTAATTATTTCAATGGCTCCCTATCAATTATAGGGTAGAATTTACATTCCTTACCATGCACGCTGAGCTTTTATGGTTCAGTCAAGACCCATCTGTCCAGCAGAATCTACCACCACTCTTCCACCTCTCCTTCTGTGTGTAACACATAACTACCTAAATTCCTTGATCAACTGTCCCACCTCTGTGCCTGTGAACATGCTGCCCTCTATCTGCAATACATTTTCTTCTGGTTTGTTCAGCTAGCTGGCCAAACCTCTACTAAACCTTCAAGACTCAGGTCAAGGATGCTGCTCCTCAGAATCCCATCTCTCAGCCACTACAACTTACCTCTTTGTGTGTCCTCATAGCTCTTTTTACTTGACTCTATTGTAGCCCTTATCACACACTATTGTAATCTCTGTTACTCTGTAACCTTCCCCACAAGATTGTGAAACCATTATGAAAGAGAGAATGTCTTGTTCAGCTCTCTATTTCCAGAATATTATCTAATATGTAATGGGTATTCAGCTGATGCTTTCAGATTAATGAGTGCTTGTGTAAAAGGGGATGTCTATGTTTATGAGCATCAAAGGGTATGGAAATATAAATGGATACAATAATAACAGTTAAAGTTTTCTGATGTGCCAGGAACTATTTTAAGTGCTTTACAACACATGCATTTTCTAATTTAATATTCAAAACTTTACAAAAGATACACCACTTGGCCTCACTTACAGATGACAAAACTGAGGTATAGAGAGAGAAAAAATTGCCCCAAACTTGTAATGCTAGGGAACAGAGCTTGGATTTTAACCAACACACTTTAGGTCCAGATCCTATGTTCTAATCCCTATAATATGTTGCCTGTTAAGAATATATCTTATATCAATGAAACTGCACAGTCCTATGACTTTCTCTTTTTTTAAAGTTTATTTTCTTTATTTTGACAGAGTGAGAGAGAGCACAAGTAGGAGAGGGGCAGAGAGGCAGGGAGGGAATCCCAAGCAGGCTCAGCATTGTCAGCACAGAGCACAACACAGCCTCGATCTCACAAACCATGAAATCATAATCTGAACCAAAATCAAGAGTGAGATGCTTAACTGACTGAGCCACCCAGATGCCCCTGTAACTATGACTTTCTATGTCTATTTCTATTTATGAAAGTATATAGGAATATATATCATGAAAGTATATAGGATGTGTGTGAGTGTGTATGTGTATGTGTACAGGATGGATTTCTGTCTGTCTATCTATCTATCCTGAAACTCTGTGGAGCTAAAAGTGCTGTGCCTACCAATAAGTACAATTAAGTGTGTGCTTTGTGTCTAGTAATATTAACTGCTATAGGTTATGGACATTTAAAAGCAGTCATGTGTTATTTTCCCAAAAAGAGTCATATTTCACTTCAGAGAACAAGACATACACTGATTCAACAATAAGGATACTGAGAAATGAAATCATGTATGCACCAACTACATTTGTGATCAGAAATATTACCAGTTGTAAAGTAATAGATTAAGTTAATGATAGGTCTCACAAAATCAGAAACTCTAATGTAAGGAAAAATATACCACATTTATCTGGAAGGTTTGATGGGGCTGCAGGAGGAGAGGAGGAGTGGGAAAAAAATGGAGTATCTCAGATAAAGCAGAGTCATGGCTTCCTATTCCAAGCTATACAACTGGTAATTCCCTGATCATCTTCCCAGGGCTGGTGAGGCAGAGGCTGGAACGACCCGTGCCCAAGTTGGCCACCCTGAAATAAAAGTACTCAATTACATGTACCTTCAGATTCAGTCTTAGTCCTAAAGGCAAAATTGGATGCCAAGATTTAGTCTTCTCTACTTGGCATGCCTGAGATTCTTTTCAAACCCTTCATTCACAACAAGAAGTAGAAGGCAAATGCCAGGCTGAGATAACTCTTCAACTGAAATTAATTTGGGTCAGTTGTGATCAGGTCAGTCAGCGTCTTTTCTTCCCTGGAATCCTGTCCCATCTTAACACAGAAGTTAGAGGGCAGGAGGGTGCAGGAAAGATCTAGGCATGTCTTCAGGGGGAGATGGGTGGGAACAGACATGGAAGGCTAATGTAAGGAACTATAAAACTGTCTCCCCTGACCTCTGCCTGTTTAGATTCCACTGGAACATGTGGAGAAAGGAACTGGGAAAGCATCTTGGAGGGATAATACTATGAAGCTGTGTGAGGGGCTCCAGCCTAGCGTCTCCTGACTTAGAGATTCATTTTCTCTTAATGTGCCCAAATTTCTTGTAAAGGTGTTCCATGCCTGTGGATTCAGGGAATTTGAGATAAAGCCAACATTTAGTAGCATCACACCCATCTGATGACCACTAATGAAAATTAAAACATGCAGGGGCACCTGGGTGACTCAGTTGGTTAAGCATCCGACTTCGGCTCAGGCCATGATTTCATAGTTCATGGGTTAGAGCCCCGTGTCAGGCTCTGTGCTGATAGCTCAGAGCCTGGAGCCTGCTTCAGATTCCGTGTCTCCTTCTCTCTCTCCCCCTCCCCTGCTTATGCTCTGTCTCTCTCTATATATATATCTCAAAAATAAAATAAACCTTAAAATGTTTTAAAAAATCTTTAAAAAGAAAACTAAAATGTGCAGATTATCCATGTGACTTTTCCTTTTGCAAGCTTCCCAGTATGCTTTCATACATGGATGAAATAGTCAATAACAGCCTCCCAACAGATTTCCCTACAGCTCCATCTGAAGGTCTCACAGCTGAGAGTTTGGGTCTTACACTCTTTTTTCAGTTTTGATAGAAATTAATTCTGCTTTTATGAACATCAGCCCATGGAGTTAATAGCCAGTATTTATCAAAATATTCAAGTAAAACTCAAGAATGTTACCAGATGTGCAAGTGAC